GCATGGCTGGCTGGGGAATTCTGGGAGTTGAAGTCCACACATCTTCAAGTCAGCAAGGTTGCACTGGAATCATAGTAGTAGGAAAACCATTACTATGATAGAAGTTAAAAATAGAACTGGAAAGAAAATCTTGTTTATCACTGCCTCATTGGTAGACAGCCATCTTCTAGGTCCTCTAGCCTAAGATTTGAGTTGCGGAAATTAATTCAGGGATACTCTGAGACCAAATAATGTCTGCAAAGCATCTTTTGTAGATATTGTAGCTGGCAATATTTCAGCTTTGTAAGGATTATATTTCTGCTGGCTCACATCATGACAAGCTACTGAGTGCTGAGAATATAAAACAAACAAGAAGGGAATGATAATGTGTCAAAAGTATATGGATGACATCTTCATACCATGTCCTGCAAGTCATAATTTATGAAGGCAAACAAATGCCTGTTCATCTGGGAGGGGGGTTTCTGAAAAGGCAACAAAGCAACATTTTTAACGCACCACCCTTGATGCTTTAGGAGCCATATAAAAGATATAATAATAATAAACTTAAAAGGATGGTAGAAGTCCTTTTTGCAAGCTTTTTACTAATTTTGCTAATAGAGAAATAATAATTGCGTTTGGAATGAATGATAAATCTCTGCATCTGTATCTTTCAGGTGGTACTCCATAACATTTTGGGCAGATGTCTGCAAAAGAGAATCTTTCCTGGCAATAACTGTACCATGGTTGGCTTCCATGTGATCTGGAGATTCTGACTTTGTGTTTGTGACTGGTTGAACTGGGCTTGTTACACCAGTCAATGTGAATTTCAGGCTTATACCTTGCGTGCCTTCACCTTGAAGAATATTGGACATTTTTCTTCTGTTTTGACTAACAGCAATGTGTTGTTTCATCTGAACCTGAACCATCTATGGCATGTACAACACATGTCAGAAAGAAGCAGGGCTTTGATTGAATGGTTATAGCTACTTACCACCTTGAGTTTTTTGAGCCCACTGCAGACACCCTGGGGTGGTGAGTTGCTTTTCCGTTATAAATCTGTGTTGTGTTCTTAAACAAACAATGCTATTTTTTTGCCAGGGTTGAACAAAAAGAGTTTGTCAATATGATCATCCTTTATACGGGCAATAGGAAGAATATGCTATCTTGTTTTTCACATTAGAACAATCTTCAGTCAACGATGTACTTGCTGCAAAAGGTGTTTTTCTTATGAATTTTGTCATGTCCGATAGCTTGCTGCTTGTTTGGGTACTGATTTTGATATTGAGTTATTTGGTAAATAAAATCATATCCTCTATTCAATATGCTTCGTGTTGTCGTGCTCCTCTATCTCATACCCAACATATTTTGCCCAATTTTTCTAAGCCTCTTTTCAGGTTTTCCAAAGTCAAGAAGCCTCACAACATTGGAAAGAGCCAATCTTAGATAATTTTAATGTCTCTCTCAAAGAGAAAACTCCCATTGGCCCTGGGTTGTCATTCATTATCATTATTAAAACAATATTATCTAAATGTTTTAATTTATTATTGCTCCATTTTATCTATTCTGTTCTATACAGGTTTGAAATCATTGAATGAAATGAATCTAGAAATGTTATTAAAAACATGAAAGAAATCAATTCAGCATAACAGATAAAATAATACATAAAGGAATTCATTCATTAATGTTATTATATCAAGGCAAGTTTTAAGAATTGTTCATAGAATATTCCAAAATTTAAAATTATATCACTAAAACCTCTCAGGAAAAATTTTCAAATAATTATTGTAAAGATTCTTAATTATCAAAGGAGACATCTTTCAATTCAAAACAGTGATAATGGCTTAGACAATGGCTTTGTCTAAGTCTATAGTGTCATAGTTTTAGATTGTTTATCCAAGCTTCTGAGAGGAGCATCATTTGCTTTGTAAATGATAGTAGGTTCAAGAAAATTGGTCTGTGGGTCAGATTAAAGTTACTATATCCCACTAGCTGGTTTGAGTATTGATAGAAACTGTGAATATTTATTTATTTTGAGTGAGCTAGGATGGAAATAGCAGAATGAAATTTAACAGAGACAGTGCAATGTTATTCAGTCAGGAAACAAAAGAACAAAACAAAATTAACACTAACCAGGCTTAGCACCACATCATACACAACTACATGTTGTGTATATACGCCCAATATTGCATTTCCTGCTTCTATCACTTTTGTGGTGATAGAACAACTATAATTAAAGAGTAGAGGGATTTTAATTTGAACAATTAAAAATCTAATTTTTTGCTATCCACCAGAAACCCCAGTGAAAGATTTATACTAATACTTGTAATACTTGGTGCAGGAAACCTGTTATTAATAAATATGATTAAAATATTCAGCTTACAAGCATTAAAATAGTATATTCCATGTACAACAAGCATCTAGATACTGGGAGGCAAACATGAAGCAGAAATCATACCACTCATTGATTCAGCTTCATTCGTGAAATGTTTGACTTATTATATCCATATTTACACAAATGTTGATAAACCTGCTGCGTGCCCATGCTTAAAGCAAGACAGACCAATAGATTTTGAATCTGGACTATTAAAACTTGAACCACATCATCACAATTCTATCCCACTGCATTCGTAGCTTGGTTTATAACCTCCTGAAGAAAAGCTGTAGAGACATATTCAATGAAATCCTCCTACCTCATAGATGGTCTTCTTTCAGGTCTTCCAGCCTCAAGGATAGGATTTCAGAGGATACAACTCTGTCTTCTCAAAAGAATGGTGTGGTGGTATTCATGTGTCTCCTAAGACACTGTCTCATGAGAGTGGGGGATGCAGGCATAATAATCTCCTAGGAATGCAGCACTGAACCACTATCTGTTGCTGCACCCACAAGGGATTATGTGAAAATCCATCAGAAACTGCCTTGGTCTACTGGAAGAACGGAATACCATTTTAACAGGTTTCAAGTTGATTAAGAGACCTCCGACAGGGCCTTTACTGCTAACTCACTTGTAGACTGCTTGAAGGGAGGACTTAATGTCCCAATAATGAACAGATTGATCTTCAGCTACTTTCTTCCTTACCTATTTTAGTTCCACATGATAATTAGTGAAATGATTTGATATAAAGAGCTATACAGTATCTGTTTATACAAATGTCTCACATGAGCTTAAAACAGAACAGCATTCATGATAAACTGAATAGATACATATTCACTTCTGGAAATAATTCTTTTTGTTAATATGATTCTATAGCAAAATTAAATTAATGTTGTTCAAAATCCTAGCCAGGAAAGTCTTTTAATAAATTGCATTCCTACTTTTGTTTTGTAAATAACTCAATATGCTGTACCACTGAGATTATGGATGTACCACTAAACAAACAAATAGGCAATCCTGTAAAAAAAAAAAATCATAATGTAACAGGAAATGTTCACTTTATTCTCCACTGCAAGTGGTTTGAGGACTGTTGGTGTTATATATATTGCACCAAACCTTTAGACAAATATTGTGTCTATTTGCAAATATAATATGTTTTGATATAGAAACCCAGGTTGCTTTGATTGCTCAGTCAATTGCCATAAATCCAGTATAGGAATAATTTTGTCAGTGCTCCATGCTGTGCCAACCTCCTGGCTGAACTACCTATGGCAATGTGGGACTGCCCTTGAAGAAAACTCTCAAGGTTGTTTCTGAGGAATATGGCTAGAGTGTTAAGGATGTGAGGCCAAATGGGATCATGCTATGGTAATTCCAAGAAACCTGCCATATTACCTTATTTGTTTCTAAACAAAAATTCAAGTCGCTGATGCTTGATTTTAAAGCTCTATATGTCTAAAGACCCAAATATCTAAAGAAATGCTTTTCTTTATGGTGTCAACCTGGAGGGGACACCCTTCTCCAAATGACGTTCTACTTCCTATGTGACAATTTAGGAGAGTCTTAATAGTCTCTACAGAAGTGTTCCCAAACTTGATCTTGCAATCATTTTGACACCAAGTCAAAATGTCCTTGACGTAGGGAATTTATGTTGATACAGCCTGTCCTGTTCAACTTCATTTCCTTTTAATGTACTTATGGTAATTTGTATTGCATACAAAGGACAGTTTAGCAATACAAGTGGAAACATCCATTTAATGGCCCTCTACTTCAGACTCAACCTAATTTTGATTTGGATATTCCCCCCTCCACCCAAACAATGGACAAGTCTGCTGTATCCAAAGAAATCCAGATGAGGCAGTTTAATATACATTAATTTTATGACATTCACAGCAATTCATGTTACTTGTGTAATGAATCCCCACCAATTGATCCTTGATTATAAAAAGCTAAAATGCAATAATTATATAATAGTTGCATACAAATATACAAGGGTGATACAGATATTTATTGGCAAGCAAAGCATAGATGTGTAGATAGCTTGTAATATAATGAATTCAGAACAAAAATAAGCATAAAATTTAGAGTTATTAAATGTTGCAATTTAACACAAATTAATTAATGTAATGATAGTTAATCTAAAAGTATTGTAGAGTCTACCATGATGGCATTTAAATATTTTTTTCTAATTAACTTTCTTAAGCTTTGTACTAATGGAATCTAGCAGTTAATAAAACAAGTGCTTGGCAACAAATTATGTGTAATATAACATTATGCCCAAGTTACTGATTTTGGACCAAAAGTCCCCAGTGACAATATTATTATTAATAAAAATTCAAAACACAATCTTGGTCAGTACAAAAAGAAAGCCTTATCAGCCAAATATGAAATCCTACAGGGTTATGATAATTAATTCATTGAAAGTCTATCTTGTCAGGACAAGCTATAAAATGTCACAAGAGGCTAGGTTGGTCTCCCAAAGCAGGGAGTTCCAAAGTCTGAGCAACCTACTCAAGAAAGCCTTGGTATTGTAGTTGTCACCCATACTTTACAAAGAAGACAGGGAGGTACTTCCTCAGTTGAATGATCTCCAGTGCAAGTTAAGACATACAGAAAAATTCAAAAGAATTCTCCATATTGTATAAATGTAATAAAGCAAGAGGTCTCCAGGGATTTCAGTTGCATTCTCTAGTTTGTAGCCCATAGGACAGCAACTTCTGCCCTTAGTTCAGGGTTTATGGATTTATTCTTCTGGGTACAATCTTTAAAGACGCTCCCACTGACAGGCATACTGATCTTACAAAAGGCAGTTGTTAGTCAGCAACGCTAAAACCCAAGTCATCTGTTTCTTTGGAAATTGTTTTAATCAGACATCTTGGCAATGAAAATTCTTTCTGTGGTAGAAGGAATATTGCAAGGAAATCTTGCTTTGGAATCACTGTGTTTTATTTTGCAGCCAACTGGTAATGGGCAGTATAACACCAAGAATCTTCCGCATCTTTAAAACTGTGCTCTAATCTAATCCATCTGCTGCTTGATAAAGAGTCCCAGAGCATCCATGGCCTAAAAAGAAGGAACTACTAAGGACATCACTCCAATTTTTCTGAGCAGCAGATGTCCCCTTGCAGCTGGAAGAACTGCCAACAGGATCAGATTAAGGGCTACATTATCTTCCAGTCGCTATCCTTTGTTCTCATGTCGATATTATTGCCAGTCTGGATAAAAATCAGTCAATATAGCACAAAGCCTATAATGTGAACCACAATGATCTGAATGTAAGACCTATTCATATAAAACTATATTGGAAGCCTGTTTGGTTACAATGAGAATAAGTACACACTTGAATGTCACGGCTTATCCTGCCCTTAGAAGATGAACAGAAGAGAATGTAGCCCAGAAGAACAAGCATTTTCTTTCCTTGTCAACATAGTTATATCCATGCAGAAAGCAACTGATGCTTGGGCTAAATTAATCACAAGCAAGGCTTTAAAAGGTTAGTTTTAAATAAATATTAGTGCTGTTCTCCGTTACACCGTTGCTTAAGAGTGATATGAACCAAGGACTGATATATTAAAAATATTTTTAATTAGGAAGGCCCAGGAGCAATGCAGTTTGTGAAGTTACTGTATTCAGAATCTTGCTTAAAATAAATTTTGCTTTGCATCCCAATTGTTCCAAAGATGAGAATCGCAAACTACTCTCAAATACATTTCTATGCAGCACTCCCTTAAAAAGCAAGCATCTCTACCAAGGTATTTAAAACTATGGCTTTAAAATGTCATTTAGAACTAGTTTCAGATAAAAAATGTTCCAGCCTTAAATTGACTAAGTGGCTCAACTGGCTTTTGTGTTTGTAATCATGACTTTCATGATTTAATGTTTGGCCCGGGAAGGGAGTGTCCTTTCGAATGCCAACTTGATGATGCCTGACGCCGTGCTTTAAAGATGGTTCATGTCCTCCGATTTAATATCCTTTTTCAGTTTGGCCAGGCGCACGAGGCATTCATCTCTCCATTGTCTCCTGGCATTTAGGTGCTCTGGGTTACTTGGAGTTTTTTTAATCATTGCCTGAAACAAAGACAAAAACTGTAGCTATAAATTAAGATAAAGGTTCACTTTAGGTGAGTCTGGCTTGTCATGACCTATGATCATGTTCATGCTGTTTTCCTGGCAACAGTATGGACATGATTTGCCATCATCTTCTTTTTTCATGTTTTTTGACTTCCCAGTTTGGCCGGGCTTTGGGATGGTTTCCTGTGCAAGGACTGTTCAACAGTCCTTGCCTGTTTAGCTTTTGGGATCAGCCAAGGTCAGCTAGGTGCAGCCATCTAGCTAGGACTGCTATAAGTAGGAAACCAATTGGTGAACCCACCAACTCCCTCTAGAGCAGGGTTCCTCAACCTTGGCAACTTGAAGACGGGTGGACTACAACT